GGGGGGCTGGGGGGGGGAGAGTACTTTAGTAACACTGTTATAACCAAGTTTCAATTTTTTTGAATGCATCAACATGTTCTGCAAAGTTTCCAATTAATGGAAAATCACTGTCAAAAATAACTTCTCGTCATGTATTCAATGATATAGATAAGTATAGAATAACACCTGGAGGTACATTTAGGTAGTGGCATCTGCATTTTGATAGTGTTTGCTGTTACACTTGAGGCAAACTCAGCACTTACTTTAAGAATTACTTCAGCCTGCAATGGCAATTTAAAGAGCGTTAGTGACCATTCCTCTCCCATCACTCATGTACCATCTCTTCATCACCTCCAAATTTCCAGAATTTATTTTCCAAACTGGTGCCTGAGGGAATAAACTAAAACAAAAAAATCCTTGCTATTTCCAAATTTTCAAACCAGAGTTGCAGTGATAAAGCATTAGACCATTCAGATCAACATAAAATTTTCAGCAATAAAACAATGAAGTTAAAAAAATTTTCCACCATTAATACTTCTCATGATATTTTTCCTTTTCACTAATCCATTCTTTCACCTTCTTGTGGTGAAGTGATTCTGGTTTTGGGAAAGAAGATGAAGTTGAGATTCATAGGGTGTTTGAAGTGGTGGTATATTGTTTGCCGTGGAAGAAGAATAGAAGAATAGTCGCTTCAAAATTAGGCGAAGGAGAGACAGTGAGTGGAGGAAGAGAGAGAAATTAGTGTCATAAAAAAATGTTTTTTAATAATTAAATATTAAATTACTATATTAGCCCTTAAGTAAACTTACTAAAACAAAAAAGTTGATTGGTTTTTTGATCCAAAAGTTTTGGTGTAAGGTGCTAACATACTCTAACTAAAAAGAAAGTGAGAGTGTGTTAACAATCCCTATATATATTTATATATACTAGTGAGATCGAGGTATTTCGTGTTTCTATATTTTATTTAATAAAAATATTTAAGAATTATCAATGTTTGTTAAATTAACTGGTGTTGTGTTTTGATCCTCAAATCTCAAGATCTTAAGTCCGAGTCTTATGTTTGTAAGAATAGTTAATTTTTAATATCATTTTTTATTATTAAAATTTTTTAGGTTAAAATTGTCTAAAAAATGTATACACCAAATCAGGCTATTGCTTTTATATGTTATAGATAATGTATAATTGTATATGTAGACACACAATAAAGAAAAGGGAAAGGGATTTATTTTATAACATTATAATTTGAAACATTTTATTTGAATTTGATGCATTCTAACATGTCTAAAAAAAAAAAGCCCAATGTTAATTAGGAGCAAAAAGAATTATAAAGAGGACATAAAAAGAATAAGACAAAAAAATAACTATTGAAAAATAGTCATCACCTTAAGCCGCCCTGCTTCTTCAATCAAAGCATTAATACGAAAAGGAGGCCTAAATTCCTGTGTCATACGGTAGTTCATGACCGGAAATTCACCATCTGGTGGCACCTAAAATTGGCAGTGTACCATTAGAATAAATAATCAAAAGGAAACAAGTCAATAAAATATCTTTAATTTATAATCTAAAATTTCATGATCTTCATAAGTCAACACTACTTTGTTACTCACCAGGGATAGAGTTCTGTCCATATCAAAACTATCAAGACGAACAGATTCATGAAAATTACAGTCATCTAATAAAACTGTTCCTGAGCCAGAGGAGCTCCTATAACCTGCTCTAGAAAAATTTCCAAATAAGTATCAAAATAATTACAAATCTTGGAAGACCACAGGAAACAATACGTGATAACTGAGAAAGTCAATGGGAACAAATACAAAACCAATAATAATGAACAATTGAAGAAATTAACACAATGCTCCCAAAGTTAAGTCAAAGAAAGGTTCATAGCAAAAACATCATTTAATATGAAAAACTGGTGTCCTTCACATACAAGGAAATCTTAGTTGATAAACAAAATCCATAAGACCAATGTATGGTTTCACCTTTCACCTTAGCATGAACATTCAATTGTAAAGGATAACAGAGAACTGGATATTTAAAAACAGCAAAACTGAAAGATACCGTAAACTGATCCCTGGCTTCCTCCAATGGAGAGGTCATCATTAAGTGCTAATCGAATTTCAGGATTGCCAGAAAGATAGCTCTTCATTTGTATGGTGCCATCAATCTCAGAAGTCAGTATATATCCCTGATCAAATCACATCACGATACTAAGAAAGTAAGAATGATGAACAAATCTTATGACAAGTGAATCATTTGAAAATACAACCAACAACAAGCAAGCCTTATCACACCAAGTGGCACTTCAAACACAATTTAACAAGAAAAAAACAATTACATGCGAAGCTAAGTGGATCAAACAATGTCATTTTACCCAAAACCATGTTTATTTTTACAAGGTCTATAGTTCTAGCCTTCTAGGTCTTTTTTAGCGGCTTCTTTAAAGAGTTCTTCACAGCCTTCCTCTACCTCTATTTATCAGGCTACTGAGAGGACCCAAGACAAGAATGAAACACATTAAAGGCAAAGCAAAGCAGACAGATAGAAGGAGGGGAGAAGAAGACTTCATTCTTAATTGTCAGTGTTGTGAGAGGGGAAATCTTTCAAAGGAGAATCCATTTCTCTGTACTTCCGTTAGTAACACAGATAATTCATACAGTCCTGTTTTTCTTTTTCAATTTTCTCTTCTTTCTCTCAAAATTCAAACTCCATTTTTGGGTTTGTAACAACTATCCTCCATCTAATTGGCTATTTTTAATAGAGCTTCATATTTTCCTCTAAAGATGCTACTTCTATTTTCTGGCTAATATCTTCATTCCTAATATTTTCTTCTGTGTCAAAATGTCAATTCATCCACAATGATATTTTATTTTACAACATTTACATTATGCTCTTCTTGAAACTTTTCAACTTAACATTCGGAACCATAAAAGTGCTAGTCTACAATAATGAATCACAAAAAATGAAAAAATTCATCGAACATTGACTATTTTTGTTTCATTAAACAAGTACTATTTATATTTCATTAAACAAGTACACATTTCCATCTGCATTTAAGAAGTCATTAGGCAGTTAATAAATTTTTAATTGGAATTTCATTAACTTAGTTTCAAACACTAGAGTCAAGAGTGAAATTTGATGTCAGATATCCAAGCTCTCAATGCATCCTAATTAGTTTTGTCAATTATCATCCTGAAAACCATAAGCAAAGCATCTGTACTCATGATACATGATGGATGAAACAACAATGGAGCAACATAATGAAATTCAGAGTCATTTAAGATGTATTTACTAACACTGGAGCTAAAAGTGATGCTGATTTTCTCAATTATATCTACAAAGATTTCTTCCCTCTTTCTACCCCCAGGCTCTGTAGCAATAACAGATTTTGTAACAGCTATCCCTGGCATTCTTTTTGTCCCTTGCTACAAGCAACCAAAATTAAGAATTAATAATATCGTAAGAGCAAGCAATAATTACAAAACTAATAAGTAGATGTTGTTAAACCTCATACCGCAAAAACTGCAGAAGGACCAAGAGGTGACAGACGTGCAGCATCAATTACAAGCGGCTCATTGAAAACATAGGACTTCAACAATTCAGTTGATGTTGTTTGAACATAACCAAAATCCTTCAAAAATGTCATTGGGTTGCTTGTAAGATTTTTGGAAACATGACTGATTGACTATGAATCTCAGGTCAAAGCAGGAGTATAATATAAAAAAAAAATTGTGAATAAGCTGAGTTCTTTTTGAAAAAAGAAAACCAGATACAGCACCCACCAGAAATTTTAAAGGCTTGTACTTTCTGTTGTATATTGCTAATAAGATATTCTAAAGATATCAGTCAGATCTATCAGAAGCTACGTTATTAACTGTTCTAAAACATTCTTGATATTGGAGTCAAGACTCAACAGTGAAGAAAATGAGCCTCAAGTGTGAAGAGTACTTAGAGTAGATTAAAAAAAGGGAGCTAGATTGGATTTAGTGATAATTCAATTCAATGAAGCATTACAGTTAAGAAAACATGGGACTTTTAAAGTAGTAAAGAACCAAATAGAGCAAGATAGGAAGCTCACAATGACTTCATCAAGTAACTCGTACACAAGCACAAAGTTTTTTCGTAATGAGTCTTCATTGAGAATCCCAAGGTAATCCTTAATAACACGAGCAATTCTTTGTAAAAGCTCCAAGACAAAAGAAGGTGATATATTAACCCTTGTAGTTGCAACAAACAATAACCCAACAACTTTCACATGGAAGTAATTTACACCATCTACATTCTGTCAAAGAACATACATACCACAAGAGAAATCAGCATATTCTACCAAAGTGTAGCAAATGACATTAAGTCCATAGAAATCCACAGCTTCAGTAAATAAATAAATAAATAAACATTTTGAGATCTAGACACATTTCTAACTTGAGTAAATTAAACATTATATTACTATCAAAACTGTAAACAGATGACATTGACAATAATAGATATCAATAATGGCAAACAGATCTATCATTTCAGCATAAGTTACATAAATTGAAGGCAGGACATAACACAGTTAGCATGACTATTGACTGGTCATTCATCTACCAAGAACCAACAGACCAGGATCTCTCTTCTTCCTCCTTTTATACATTTACAACATTCTATAGATTTTCAACCTTTTCAATTGTATAATGTAAATCAAAGATATGGTGTGGAACTGAGGGTATTCTAAGGCGTTTGATGTCCCAATGAAAGTAACTACATCATATAATACAAAGAAAACTGATCTAGGGGAAACAAGGAGATGTAATTATTCATTATGCTACATACTCTTTCAAGCTTAAAGCACATTTTAATATGCTCTGCCTGATTTAGAAAGATAATACCTACAAAGACAGGTGGTGCCTCCTGCAGGTCCCCATCTTCCCAGAACTTTACTTTGCGGAAAAATATCTCTGCACTTCCCTTCTGCACTTCACCACGGTCTGCAATTTAGACAATTAAGTAGAAATAGTTACTGAGAGTCTGACAGTAAAAGTTCCGAGAATTAGGATATGATAAAAATTTTGTCAATATTAAAACTGATATAATTATAAATTTCTAGAGGTAATGATGTTCGCTTCACTCCATCCACCCTTCTCAAAATAGCACTTGCAGATTAGAAGCTGCACTACATTTGCACTCCATTCCACAACATATCTTAATATTTTAAGGTTCAATTTGCTTGACCTTGGAAAATCTAAAATTCAAAGCAACTACTCTCTCTATCCCATAATAAGTGTTGTCCTAGTTTATTTTACATAAATCAAGAAAAGCTTATAAATAGATAAAAGAGAATAATAATTTTACAAAATTAACCTTATGATTAATATTTTTTTTTGCTAAAAACGGTGCAACAAAAGAATCACTTTCTACATAGTATTATTAAGAATATAAATGAAAAAGATGTAATTAATACTGCATTGAAAAGCTAACATGACACTTTAAAATTTACTTTTTCTTCTAATGCGACACTTATTATGGAATGGAAAGAGTACATAAAATGGGGAAAACACAACTCAATGAGGAAATCGAAAGTGGCAAGGTCAAACCAAATGCATCAACTAGGTTTTGAACTGTGGTTTGAGAAACTCCATAGCTTGCAATAGTGCAATGGCTCTCGAATTTTTAGAAACCAGCAGTAAATACAAGAAACATAAAAAATAAAAATAAATTCGGAATTGCAGGTAAGCGTCCAATACAAATCTCAACAATTATCGGTCCAAATCTCAGTCTTCTATTGAAATGCATTTCCACTAACAGGCCCCTAACTCTAACGAATCAGGATGCATTCCACCGTGCTCGAGCTCATGCAGCAAAATTCAACGGTGCAAATATCTCATCGAAATATCAGTATTCAGATATTTTAAAAAGAAATTAGCTACGCAACATTCGCGTTTCTCGATTTTGCCAGCAAAGTAACCGGTATGTCATTAACATGCGATCAAGATGCGAATCGAGTAGGTAAGATCTGGAAGCGTGAACTCGAATTACTGATAATTGAGTGAGAAATAATCTTGCTATGGATACGTAAGCTAGCCTAAAACGCTCTAGTTGAACACAAATCCATCAAAACATTGGATCGAATAAACAGCACCAGATCCAAAAACTAATGATACCATAATCACAATGAAAGAGGGTGATTGAGAGAGAGAGAGAGAGAACTAACAGTCACGGAAAACGATGTTATCGCCACGCTGCGAGAGAACGAAGAACTGCGAGATCATGTTTCCGCTCGATGCACACACCTCCTAATGGCTACAGCTGCTGCCTTTGTAAATGGCTAGTAATAAGCACTCAACTGAACATTCCTCGTTGCAATTACGGCTCTATTTATATTTTTAATTACAAAATCATTTTCAAATTCATTCTATAATTTCTTTCTCCATCGATTTAAAATATATATCGGTATAATAACAACGAACACAAATAATAATAATAATAATAATAATAATATAATTTTTAGTTTTATTCTTCTAAAAAAGTATTTAATTTGTACAGGTTAATTCAACTTCTTTTCTTTAAAATTAATTTCATTTTTTCATTAACTTTTAAGGAATAATATTTTTCTTAATCAAACTTTTATAATCTTATACATAAAATTTATTGAACAATTAAAGTCGACTCAATAATAAAAGACATGATCTTTAAATTAAATTTTAGTGTTGTTAGAATTTAATAAAAAAAATGTAAAGCTTGTTTTTAAAAATTGTCTTGACTATTTTTTTCAATTTATATTGACATGATTTTGTTATAAAGTATGGAAAGTAAAGTAAAAATAAGTAATATGTGTTATTTTGGTGAATATGTATATTAAATTCACCAAAATCATGAGTAAGTAATTTTTCTTATTTTGGCGAATATAAATATGAGATTGTAAAGCTTGAAAATAAGAAAAATAAATAAAGTAACATTTTGTAATTATTTATAAGATATTTTTTTTTTTTAAATTAGATAAACTCTTATATTTGTAGTTCCTAGGTTTAAGAGCCAAGAAATAAAGTAAAATTGAGATAATATTTTTATTTACTTATCAAAATATAAAAATAAATAAATTTAATTTATAAATTAGAGCTAATTTCTATGAACTTTTTAACCCATTATTATAAAATTTAATAAATTTATGATTGATAGGATTCCTACCTAAAATAAGACTGTAATTGATACAGTAGCTTCCTTAAATGTTACAATCATAACAAAGCTGAATCGGCAATTCCACATCAAGCATTCCTTTAAATCATTTTCAGGCAGAGACTATATTTGACATAAGATTTATTGAGTTGTATAATGTACACCACAATTGAATTTGACTTCATCCTCATGAATTTTCAAGCTTGCTGATGTAGCAAGAGTCAGCACCAGAATTCTTGTTCTTTGACAACATAACTGCTTCCTTCTTCTCGCAAATTGCATGCTTTGAAATCAAGAGTCCATTTCTCAAACGAGCAATTGGAGAAATTATAATGTCCTCCATGAAGAGAAAGCAGCTCTCTTCTCACTCTATCTTCTATCCAAGGATAACTCAGCAAGTTCAATAATGATTGGTTGATAGATTCCTGTCAAAAATTGAATGAACATCACTTTAATTGCCTTCGGAAACTAGAATTAGCGCCACAAAATAATTTATGTACATCTGATTATGTTTCACCAGATTCAAGTCTAAGAGTTCTTACTTAGTGACAACTTCTCATAATTTGGCCGAACATAATGCAGATATCTATATGGATACAAATTAGAAATATTTTTAAGAATTTCTCTATTAGAAAAAATCTTTTATTTTCAGTCAGAAGCTCAACAAACTTATGAGGGATACCTTCTCACAGAATCTGCATTGCTGATCAAAGCTAAGATGAGCTGTAGCAGCTTTTGTCCTCAGTTTGGCAAGTTTTCCATTGGCAACCCACTTGTGTATGAAGTTTCTAGAGGATGGATGAACTCTGATGAGAATTAGATATAATAATAACTATTTTAATGAGAAATAATTAGAGGATGAATGAACTCTAGTGAGAGATACCTTGATTCTACATCTTCTGGCATATTCATCAAAGTTTCAATTCCAGCACACCTACTGTGACCAATGACTAATATATTCTCAACCTAAAAATTTCAAAAACCATTTTGAATTACGCAGTTATAAAGGGTATGACCAACCAACACAAATACACTTATCAAAAAAAATAACAAGTTATTATAACAGTCTAGCATCTTCTCTATTTTCCAAGTCTTCTTCCACCCCTCTCATGACAAAGGGATATTCCTCAATCAAATTCTCATTTTAGACATTCATTTGCATTTTCTGAAATTCTTGGATTAGAACTTACATTGAAATCAATATATTTTTCCATTCAGTTCGGCAGTGTCAATCAATGTATGATTTTCACAAGACAGCTTTATGAGAAAGGGCGTACCTTAAGAGTAGTTACTGCAAACTCAAGAGCAGCATTACATTCTGATGCTCCATTCTTCATTCCAACATAAGAAAAAAAAATGATGAGAGAAAGATAAAGATCAACAATAGTTTGAAGCTTCCATAAATTATTTAGGAAGGAAAAAAAACAATTATGCTAATACCTTCATTCCAGGTACAAGATTGGCAACGTTGCGTATCATAAAGACTTCTCCAGGTTGGAACCCTAATATGTTAGAGGGGCATACCCTAGAGTCTGCACAAGCAATTACCATAAACTGTATTTGGATTTATCAGTTATAAGACCAATGTGAGTTTTAAATTTTAATACAATGGGGAGCAGTACAGCGTGCAGGAACCAAATAGATTAAGATAAAATTATAGAATATTTACGAAAAAGGAATCAATACAGAAACAAATAAATTAAATGGACTACGTAAATCTGTTTGTTATCACCTTGGGATACTGAGCTTCAGCAAGAGCTTGAAAATGCTCCAACTCTTTTCTGTCTAGAAGAAATATAGCTATTGTAAGATACTATACTAACAACAAGAAACAAATTTCTGCAAATGCTGAAACTGGGAAAAATGCGCAAACTGACTCTTACATACATTTTTGGTTCTTGAAATTCAGAAATCTCTGTTTCATCAAACCAAACAAATTTTGATAGCCATCAATTTCAGCCATATTCCCTTCATCAAGACCTTTGTTTTCTCGACCGAGTCTGACACAAATACCAGGATCCTCTGGCTGTTTCTCCCTACCGTTAATAAAGACAATAATTGTGATAATCAAATGCTATTTCCCACTCAAATCATTAACGATTTGGAACAGATTGGTCAAAGAAAAATGTACATATAAAACCAAAGCTTAACTGTCAGAAATCAGAACTGTAAGAGAGAAAATTCCCAGTTGTTTTTTACAGAAACATAAATTCATGGTTATTGAAATTATTTTAGACTTGTGTCAGTTCAAAATCTAATTTATCAAAATTTGGTGTTGATTTCAAAAAGGTTCGGCAAAATTTGTGAAGGTAAAGTCACAATCTTCAACTCACTTTAACCAAGGCAACGATGCTGCTGCACGGCAACGGTCCGTTTTTACACAATCCATCTAAAGACCCACCAAGGCAAAACAAAACAATGTCAGAACCAAACATTGAAACAAAATCTAAGAAAAAATCATGAAGAAACTAATGTTTGATGAACAGCTTTTAACAACATATGAAAGCGAAAGCCACTTGCTTATATGAGCTTAACAAAGGATCACAGTGAGAAACTCACAAATTTTGGCCAAGGCCGTTGAACAGAAAAGCGTGAGCACCACCATGAGTCATAGACGTATGAACCCACCAAAGGTGCCTTTGAACAGAGAAGTGAACTTATTCTGGACCCTGTAACATGCATCAGCAATTAAATTACATTAAAAAAAAAATTAAAACAACATTAGTGGAAAAGACAATTGAAAATTGCAAGGTGAAACAATAGTTCATGGGTACTTACTAATTGGCCAAACCATCTCTTCTCTCGAACAGATGCTGACTAGCGACTTCAATGTTCAAACTTCCTTATGAGTACATCGCATGCCATATTTATCCTTTTAAAAATTTATCATTGTTCTTATTATCATTGAATTGATGCTTAATGTATGTTTTATATATTTATTTATGGTTTATGTTGTGGGATGACGTGATGGTCGTGGCTATTCATTGCAAGACGATAAGGGTTGTGAAAGGGTGACATGGAGAACACTCAATTATATAGACTTATCCGGTGGTTACACGTACATGTGGTTATCCCATTTTCTGGGACTTTCCTCACAGCCAGACATCAACGGAATGATGTGTCCATTATTTATTAATATCTCAAGTCACTTTCATAGTTGGCAACGCTGTCTGCTCCTTATGCATGTCTCAATCTTCGAATTATAAAATAATTGTATAAATATATTTTTAGTCTTTTAAATTTAAATAAAATTGTTTTAATTTTTAAATTTAAAATTATTATTTTTAATCTTATAATTTTGAAAAAAAAATATCATTAATAATATATCTAAAAATAACAGATTAAGAGATAATTATTCATCATTAGTTAAATTTAGGAGAAAATTTTCATTAATAGAAATATTAATAAGTAAAAATATTTGATAGATTTTCTATAAAAAAAATTAAAATAAATTTTTTTAAAATTTTAAGAATTAAAAGGATTAATTTTGAATTAGAGAGATAAAAAATAAATTTATTTTTAATATGAGGGATTGAAAATATATTTAAATTAAAATTATATAATAGAGATAAAAGATGAAGAGAGAATGTTTGTAATATGATGATTAATAGACTGAGAAAGAGGATAGAAAAAATAATTTTTATAAAGATTTCACCGAATATTATCTTATGATAATATAAATTTTAAGGTTTTATTTTATAGATAGTTAATATTTTTAAACACTCAAATAATATGCAATATTTTTTTTTCATCTTCTTAACATATTCCACCATCAATCGTATCACATTATTGACTGTATCGATCACTTACCTCTTTTTTTTTTTTAACCTCTCTCAAGGTTATAGAACTAAAGGATATCTAAAATTCTTTTTCTTAAAATTTATTTGGTCATTGTCACTTGTCACTTGTCACTATGTGGTGCACACTGCACTATGGACATATTTTTTTTACCTATTATGTTTCATTTTGTCAGTTATCTTTGCATTTTTTTCTCCATACTAATATTATCCCACCACCTAGTTATATATAAGTAAACTCAATTAAAACATGTTACTAAGAATTACCTATTATGGTTGGACGACAGACAAGCATGTGAACTACGTAATATTTGCTTATGTTACTTTGAAATTTTTACATAAATTCATTTAAAAATATGCATCTCAACGTAGATAAACATATATAGATCTTGTTGTGGAAGTATAATAGTCTCGTTTGATAACTGACCACTTGATCGATTCATCTCAGTATTGATTATGAACTTTAGTTCAATGGATGTTGATCCTCAAAGTAATTGCCACTTGCCAATCAATCCATGAAATCAATACTTAACATATATATTGTAATATATGTTAATCTTGCAAGTATTATGTATACGTGACAAGGTGATGATCATGAATCACTTAACACGATATCTCATTGCAATCTTTATATAAAGAATCGTTTTAATTTTCTTTTTATCCATCACAATTATAATGATTATATTAGAATTGAACTAAAAATCATATATATTTTACCTCATTATTAGATCCACTTAGTAGTTCAATAGTGTTAATTTATAGAATTAAACTCGGATAATACAAAAAAAAATTTAAAATAACCAAATTATAAGTTTCACCTTTTTTTTTCCCAACTTTTATAGCAACATGTGTTTCTCCCTCCTGTACCTTATTTTGTTCACGTAACAACCTAGTTTTCTTTCCCTCCTCTAAATTTCTGATTTTTCATTCACTCCAACCAAAGTGTTATCTAACGGTCTCTCTTTAACACTTTCTCCCCCCTTTCTCTCTAACTCTAAGATCACAGATTTTAATGGATGCTATTTTATATAAGAGAAATAGTTAAATGAAACGCAAAGTTCATAACATTCATAATTTTTTAATAAATTCTGATCTAAAAAAAAAAAAAGAAGGAAATATAGCTTCTCTATCGAATTAGTTTAGATTCATGTCATGAAACTTAGCCTCGAAGATTTGAGACCGGAGGGCTAATTTTTTTTTATTTAAAAAAATGTATATTTTAGGAGATTAAATATAATTTTTGTCATCAATAACGTTATGATAATTAATTTAAGTATTTACTCTTCAAAGTTTCCTAAAATACTAAAATACAGCATTAATTAGAGCATGGTGTGTATATACCATGGGCAATTCATTTGGTAGAAATATTGAGTTAACGAAAGAAAAGTGACAAGCAAACACAGCTAGCTAACACAGTATAGTAACTAATCGTCAACATACTCCACCATTCCTGAAGAAGAAAGCAGAGGCAGAGTCAACCTCAGTAGAAGGCGAACCATAAGAATCCCTAGCTCGCTTCTGGCCCAAAACAACGGGGCCCATTCCAAAGCCCACCAAAGCCCGATTCTCCATGACCGCCTTCAAAGCCCGTTCGAGCGCCCCCACCTCCTCCTTGGCTCCACCACCTTCACCCTCCGGCCACTCCATCACCACAACGCTCTTGGTCCGTCCCCCCACCGTCATCATCTCGGCGCGAACCGCCCTGGCCCTGACCGCCCGTATCGCCTGCGAGAGGTCGCGGTGGAGCCCCGGGCGGTCCTGGCAGCAGAGCGTGGCCCTCAGGCGCCCCTCGCCGTCGCAGCAACTGACGGTGGCCTCGTCGCTCTCCCCGGGAAAGGGCTGAGGCGAAGCCGGGTCGTCTCCGCGCGCCACGTCATCGGCCTCCTTCCTGAGGCGTTTGACGTGCTCCACCACTTCCCCGAGCAGCGACGCCTTATCAGACTGCAACACAACACAACATAACAGAAAGACTGAATTTACCACGCTACCCCTCAACCCATGCAAAATAATAATAAGTAGTAATAAGTAATAACCTTGGCAGCGTTGGGAAGGAGAGAGCGTAGGGTGGAGAGGTGAGCGTTGATTCTCTGCCTGCGCCTCCTCTCGGCTTCCCTGTGGCTCTTGCAGGCTTCCGTTGATTTTGATCTGTCACTCTCCAGCTGGACTGCTTTCTTGATCAAGGAGGCTGATGAGTGGTGGTCTAGCCAGCTCTCGAAGCCGTAGAATCTCCGAAAGGGAAGCATGTTATTAAGTGTGGTTGGGGTGTTAAGGGTGGCTTAGGTATAGTATACGGTGTATTTGTATTGAGCAGCTTTTTAGGTTTCAGGTTTCAACTGTTGTGGAAGAATGGTGGTACTTTTTTCATTTATTTATTATTGCTATAAATAAATAAAATGGATTGCATGCCCGAGGTGGAAGAAGGAATGAGAATGCAATGACAATGAGAAGTGGTTAAGAGGGAATGAGTGTGACCTCTGAGAAACCCAAGAATAAATTACTGCCTGCCCCTCCCTCTCTATTCTACATGTGTCCACAATCACAGACAGGGACTTCCAACAAATTCAAATTACTTATGCACATTCTTTTTTCTTTTTTTCCCTTTTTACTTCTTATCTTCTCTACCCATTTATTTCACTCTAGTTTTACCCGAAGATAAACAACCACTATTTACTTGCGCTAAAAGACCCATCATTAGATTTACCTAGTTTAGTTCTACTCGCGTTTCATGGTAGCTAGTAGGGTTAATATTTCATATGTATGCCGTGACAAGAATCGAATCTTTCTTATTTTTCAACACAAGATTAAATATAAATTGAATAATTTAATATAACATAATCATAAATTCACAATTTAAATAATCAAACACTATTGTTTATATCACTTTTAAATAGTTTTGTGATTAAAAGTCAATTTAAATATCCTTTAGATTACAATAGTAGAGATCAAAATAAGAGTATGAGAATTTTAGTTCTATTATCATTGTTTCTGTCGTAATATTTCTTATTCATTATAAAAAGACTACGTTAGTGTATTCGTTACTTATCTAAATGAATGTCCTTACTAATTTAATTCATAAAATAAGATATTAGAAGGTAATTAATTTAAATTAGTATTTATTATGTATTTTAAAATTTATTTAGATAAAAATAATAATTTATATATATTTTAAATACATTTTTTATATTTAAATATAATATTTATTTATATATAAAATTTATCATAAATTTAATTATATAATATATATATATATATAGCTGTGCATTTCAGTGACTAAAATATTGGTTACAAAACTATGTTGAAGCCAAAAACAATAAATATAGTTTTTTCAAGTTTCTAATTTTTCACCATAAATTTTGGGAGTCAAATTCTAAAAAGTATATTCAGCGTGCATTTAAATGCACATTCGGGTAGGACAAGGCATGTTTTTTCTTTGTGATTCTTTATCTTTATATATATATATATTTAAAAATTTTCATTTTCATATGATTCTACATATAAAAATTAATTTTGGTCAATGATAATGAAGATTATTTCTATATTTTGAAGAATTGATTTTAGTCAACGTTAATGAAGGATGAAATCAATTCTACAAAAGCAGACCCAAACACTCACTCAAACACATTATCAATAAGAGGTTTTTAAAAGTCATTATTCAATAAGATGTGTTTAAAAGTTATTTATTTTTTTAATGAGAGCAGTTTTTGTTTCACTTATCTGTTTTGATATATTTCTCTAAAAAAAATGTTTTAATGTATTTTTTATAATCATTTATAAATTTTAATTTTAATATTTTAAAATAATTTAAAAAAATTAAAATAAAATATATCATAGTATAAATTATTTATTATGAATTCAAAATAAAACTTATAAATTTATAAATATGTATTATAAATTTTAATTATCATATAATTATATATTTATTATAAAAATTTAGCTATAAAAAATAAACATTATTCTATGCATAATTAAATTAAAACAGAAGTTAAATTTGTCAAAAAAAAAAAAGGAGAAAGAGAAAATCCGAATCTCAAAAACAAAACTCCATATATACACTAGTAATCATGGCAAATATATATAATTAAGAAAAAAACGGTTACTCGAGTACATAATTGAATAATGTATATTCCAAACCAAGAAGGAATTAATAGTAAGGGGGAATAATAAAAGGGAAGAGAAAGGGTTAGAGGATAAGAAGTAGTACAAATGTTGAGACAATGCGGTGGGAAAGGGATAGTGAGAGTGGTAATTTGTTTTTTGATGATTTATGGAGTAGAGATAATGGTGGTGTTTGGTGCGAAAAGGAAAGAAGAGTATGCAATCATTTTCAAAGGGCAAAAGAAGTGTTACTTAATAGTCTCATACTACTGCAGCCGGCGCCGACAGCTTTGTGAGGGAATCAAAACGAGACAGGTAGTGACCATGATGTGCTAAGCCGACAACCTCTTTTCATTCTTGGATTGGATCCATCGCTTTGTTCTGTAACCTCACCACCCTCTCATCTCTCTTTCTCTACCTATCGCTTTTGCAAACAACCCTTTTCTTCCAATTTTATATTACTTTTTTCTTTTCTTTTCAACCCATTTCAGTGTATTGTATTCATAGCTTTAGCATGTTTATATACTCAGCTGCATGTCCAGATCTGGCTCTTCTGTCCAAGACCAACTGCTTATGTTAGTTTGCAGTTGTTACTCTCTACTTTTTTTTTTAATCCTTCGGGGGTTAAACTTAAAGCAAAAACTATGCTAAGTGAATGAGGTTTTACAGCCTCATGTGTGTATGGATATGTATTGCATGCATGCTTGTTTTTTTCATGCATGGTAGTCGTGGCTGCATATTTAAAAAAAACAAAAAAGTTTTATTTTCATGTGGATAGAAAAGACTTTATTAAAAAAATAAAAAACTTGCTTTCAGTAATATCTACATATCATAATCAAACTACAATTAAAGGATATTCTGGGTACAAACAAAAAGAAAAATTATCCAGTATGAGGCACCTTTTATATATGTTACTAAAAAAAATACTGATATTTTTTAAAACATAAAAATCAGTCTGATAAAAGAAAACATAAAAATCAGAAAAATCAATATAATTAACTATTTCAAAATGTTAGCGATACACATATAACATACAAAAGGAACCTAACTATATCTATCAACTCCAACCGTAACTTGTTGGTTTAATTGAAATTTATTTGTCTGACAGTATTTTGACCAAGGGTGCGAATTACACAGTATGAGTTTATCGGTAGCCTCTTGTCATCTTAAGAATATATCCTAGAGATATTTTAAGATTTAGACCAGTTCAAATGCATTTTACGACAAATATATTCTACAAGAGGTGTTGTTAACTTACATATTGAATTGAAATGTTGTTAACTTACATTCACTTTGCGTCTTAATTAGACATATTCGAAAAACAGATGGGGTCATCATTCTTTTCTGATCTCGTCCCACATTAAATTTAAGCTGTCGTAAATAACACAAACTTTTCTTCTATTCCACAAGAGGTCAATAAGGAATATATGCATCAAAATATTCTTGCTAATTATTTCTCCGTTCGTACCCTAATCAGGTGAGGGTAGACAATAGATAAAGTTGGATGGATACATTATTTGGTGACTCCATTATTCACTGACATATTCTTTCTTCCCCCACCTATTGGTTTACCACATTCCTTCCCTCTTCTAGTGTGGCAGTTTAGGTTATACTTTTGCAACATGAATAAAGAAATAAATAAATATCAATATCTGAACATTATACATGTGAGTATGTCGGTGGGGCCCACCAAAGATAACAATGAAGCAACGAAAGATCAACATCCTATGTCAGTGCTCCGGCTGCAAGGAGCAGATGAGACTTTAGATGGTATCACCCAACCAGCAGGTGCAGAAAGCAGATCATGCAACTGAACTATGCTCAGTTTAATTTAAACTTTATACATATATATATTATGCTAAGTGACCACAAATTAATTCTATATAATTACTTTGAGTAGTTACATTTATTTCGTAATGTGGATGTCGGTTTTTTCTCCTCCAAACAGTAGAAGTTTGGATTCATATATACTATGATTTTGACATCTCCATGATGCAATGAGCATGTCTCCCAGGCTCACTATTCGATTCGATCTGTCTCGAAGGCCTCATGCTTATTAATTAGACCCCACCTAGCTTGCTTCACTGTTCATTTAACTTTCGTATGGTGAGCCCCTACCTATGTGTTGATCCACATGTCACCTTTGCAATAATAAAACAAAAAGACAGAGAAGCCAGGATTTATGGTCAAATTAAATTCAAATAGTGAACATAATAGATTATGGTTATCATATAACACAGTGATCAAATAATATCACTCACAACTTTCACCATATTATAGACTATATTTTTACACCTTCAACTTAAACCATTTTTAATATGCATATATATATATATCACCAAACAATATAACATATATGATATCAACACATCACAAACAACATACATTCATTTGGTTATCATCTATCTCAACACCTTCAACAAAACAACATAAATTACATACATATATACATATATATATGTATAGACACACACATACAACTGATGTGTCATCATAGATATCAATATCGAAGATCTCCTACAATTAAAGTGAGTAGTTTAAGTTACGTGACCTTATCAAATCATAGTGATTGGTATAAAATCAAAAACAACGACTGATACTTTAGTCAAAAACATCGGCTGACACTGAAATCAGAAACAACAGCTAGCACAAGGTTAGAAACAATGGCTAGTATAAATTAGATTGATTTATCAAGTTTCATCACTTAAAGTATGAAGTATGGTACCATGTTTAGATAGAATAGTGTGAGTATAGATCTGTCATGGCATTAGCTTGCAATATTAAGCCCCTATGGAATTAACCCATCGACTACACTCCAAATACCACAACTCTCTAATACTTGGTTAAAGACTAAGTCCCCAACTTCTCGGTTAGTCACTTATTATCATAATAGTTTGACCTTGCCCCTAAACTATGGTCATTTTATACATGTATGTCTCAACCTTACCCATATACAAATATCACAGAACCTAGAGGAGACAATTAAAAACAACATATCTATTCAGAAGTCAACTTACTTATTAAAGGATTTAATATAACGTATATCCGCACAACGAGATATTATAATTTGAAAACATTTTTAACTCATTTAGTTTCTATGTATTTGAACATAGACATGTATCACAATCACAGGTCTAACAACTAGACAGCTTAACAACTTATCATCGTACATTGTTACCACTTAAACATCATTCATCTTTTGTCTTAATCATACAACTACATAACACCATATCAATTTACTTCTTTACAACTTAATCATCTTTCAGCATACATACCAACTTTCAACTCAACGACAATAATAAACACAACATTTTATACATAGCAACTTTACAGTTTTCAACTTTAACAATTATCGGTATCCATCTTACAATATATACATC